ATGGGATTTTACCGTCTATATTACTTCTTTGACCCATATATATTACCTATAATATTTGATATGGCGAGTTCTATGTTTTATCCTGAATTCGCGAAGAGGGCTGTTCGGGAGTTTACATATGTCTAGCTACTTTGTCCAAAACTTATTATCCTAAGGTAAAGACTACCATCAATTTATTACCATTAACATTAATATGAAATATTTAACTTAAATGATGTCAGGGAAAGGTATATTGTGGATTCAAATTCAAATACTATTTAAGGTTCAGCAATCAGGGTGTTTATAACGACATCCCATCTAAAATATCCAGTTAGAAAACATAGCATAACATATATGTAAACAGATTTGTGGTGTTTTGAAAAGAAAAAAAATCCCGTTGATGGTACCCCGCTTCGTCCTCTTTCGACAGTCTCGCCATTGATGAACTTTTGTTTAGGCACCAAACCTTTGTACTTTTCTAGCTTGTAGGATTACTTTGACTTAATTTATCGTGGTTTTACTTTGTGTTCTAACGAGCAACGTATTCATGAGTGCCAAAGCTTTCCCATCATTGAGGTAGCCGATTGGCGTTAGACATGACTGAATTCAACGAAAGAAAGGAAAGATCTGCTAACAACAAACTCACCCCAATCTTCTAAACAACTAAAACGTCATCTTACAAAATGTTTAAGGTTTTTCTACAGGCAGACATATCCACGTTTCTTTTTTGTTAAGTAGCTGTATATTTCATTGCTAATTAATTGTAAATTGATGATGGAAGTGAGCTATGATAAATTGTAGTTAACTAGTGCCATATTCATTGTTAGAATTATTTGGCAAATTGTTAAACTGGCGTTTATAATCATGTGTTATTGTTACAGCTGATAAGGAGCCGACATGGCGGGGAATGTTGTGATATCGGCTTCCCCAAAGGAGGTTTTGGTGGACGAAACTTTTATTCTCCGTGTAACTGGACTAGGTCCGGAACAGAGAGTGACCATCCGCTCCGTGGTGGCTGAGGACGGTATGAAGTTCAGCGCATGCGGTTGTTACGTAGCAGACAGTGATGGCTGTATCGATGTCAGTGTCCAGCCTTCCTTATCCGGTACCTACACAGGTGCGCCCTCAATGTCATTTACCAAAGTAATAATACATTGAAATTGCATTAGGGAGCGAAGGCGACACGACGACAAAGGATTGATTAGATGACGTAGAGGTAACACTCCTGTCGCCATGTCGTTGTGTTATCCATTCCTCGCCATCAGGTCCCCGTTCTCTCCTCTTCGCATGCCTTCAACTAATGAAGAAGGTTATAAGGAACTGGCATGTTGAATCACAAGATTAGAGTCTTTTCTAAAACTTTGAGAAATTGAAAAAATAAAAATTAATTTGGCTGCCGCAAGCGCGACACTTAAGACATTTATTTACGTCTTCACTGGTCATTTTCCTAGTCACCCCAGACTACTCCGTTGTTGGTATAGTGTAACTGGATGGGGTGTCAGGGTATTATATCCATGTTGTGACATCTCGGATGCCATTGAGTTGCTTCTGTCGACATTGGTCATATGAAGCACTCGCTGCCATGTTGTTGCGTTCACGTCGCCCTTTTCCCTCCTTCTCTCTACCTTCGTGTTTAGCCTTACCGGACACCAACGGAAAGTCCTGACTTGTCTGACAAATTCCTTGGACTTCAGAAACTTCCCTAAAATTCTAAGGAAAGTTTCCGGACACAATCAGGAAAAGCCACGGGTTTTACTTTTATCACTGTCGTACCAACGTTAACAGCTGACGATTTATAGGGAGAGATATTTCGTAACGTTGCATTCATATCATGTTAAATAGTTTTTACATTGAACAGATATTTTTAAAGAAATGTACAGGTAAACTCAGAATATTGTGTTGTGTGTAAGCTTTAACCCTAACTATTCTTGGCTGTGTTGTTATGTAGGAGTTGACCAGATGGGACTTGTGTGGAGTATGTGCCAGATTCCAGGTCAGCGGCCGGGGCTACGTCTCTTTAAGAAGGACGTGACGACCCAACAAGTGCTGAAGTTTGAAGTCTACACCGAACATCGGACTTTCGATCACCTTCACGAGGTTTCAGTTTTGCCTCTGTCTATGACTAAGGTGTTCCGGTGGTACATGAGCAAGGACGTGAAGCGACTTCCGGTGGAGGTGGGAAATATAAGGGGCATGCTGTTTATACCGCCAGGTAATAGGCATGGTGTCCATGACCAGTAAATATAATTAAATTGAAAACACGTCATAATTTAGTTCGTCTGAACAAAGAAATGTGTTTACTATGTTTCTACTTTATCAGTTTGTGTATGTATAATTTGTCTTATGACATTACTTATTGCCCCAATTTCTAATCCAGATGTTTACGTCTTCGTCTTAGTTTCAAGTTGTTTTCCTTCTTCTATTTAGTCTTAAAATAAATAAAATGTCTGTATTGAAACATGTTTATTTTATTGTTAGATCGATATAAACAGTATATCATTTAAACTGAAGGCCACGCTAAGTTTGTTTGGTATTCACTGTAGTGAGCATTACAGCTAATGGGTATACCCTTAAATGTTAATGACAATTTGAACTTGAACGTAGGCCCTGGACCATTTCCGGGGGTGCTTGATCTATTCGGCTCAGCGGGCGGGCTCCTTGAATTCCGCGCCTCCCTCTTGGCCTCCAGGGGCTTTGTCGTGCTGGCCCTGGCTTTCTTTGGTTATAAAGACCTGCCCAATCATTTTACAGAGGTCAAGAACCTCGACTACTTTAAGGTAAATACAAAATGAATGATGTTTTTAACATATGTCGGAAACTATTATAAATAATAAGGGCGATGTTGCAGGGACTGACATTAGAGTTGGTCATTTTACAAACCGGAAATGAAAGCATTATGGTGCGCATGTGTAGGTAACAGAAAGTGCAATACAAGTATAATGCGTTATGTCACTACTGGCTCTACATTAGAACTTAAGTTAAACGTTATATCTCTGTATATATACAAAATGTATACAATATACATGTATCTTCAATACCATGCGTCTATAGCACAATATAAAGTTTACACCTATCTTTACTTGTACACATGGTTTGCTCAAAGTTTAAAACTTATGACATCATACTTGTTACAGCATAAGTCTTGTTGCTAAACTAAAGCACTCTTATCCCAATGACATACAAAGTGCACCTTTTCTGTTTGTGTAGGAAGGCGCCCAGTATCTGAATGACCACCCCAGTGTCCAGCCTGGGGGAATAGGAATCATCGCTGTGTCTAAAGGGGCTGAAATAGCACAACTGATTGCTATGCATTGTCCACTGGTGAGTGTCATTTAGTCTCCAAGATTTCAGGAAAACAGAAAACTTCATTTGATTGCAATAAAGTTATGATGTCAAACTTTTATCCCATTAAGACGTCAATGCTGAGGTTCAAATCTGATTGGTGGAATAAGAAATGACAGATAAGCGAAAGTGTTTTGTTGGTTTACAAAATTGCAATAGAGTTCGGCAGTGAAGTTATCATTATTGTCTACCAGTAGGTAAATATCATTAAGATATCATATGTAGTGAGGTGATCCTTTGTCATGATGATGTCTGCCCACACATCTTCGTAGTGTGGTTCAAATACCTTTATATAGTGTTGGTTCGAAAAATAACGAAACATACTTCCTACCTTTGGCCTTTGTTGTTTGACTGTATTGGGGAAGAATGGAAAGGGAATTTGAGGTGTTTAGACATAAGGATTGGAAGTTCATTCTAGCTTTATTGATTGTATTTGTTGAGTTAGTTTCTTATAACAAATGAGGACGCAATAGGTAACTCCGTAAACCAACAGTCCTGGCAGTCGACGACACGAAACGGAGCGTTGCATGTGTCACAACAAATGACCCTGGACTTCTATTTAGCTGTCATGGATGTCGTGGAACTCTTGGGGATGGAGTTTGTTTTGTTCAATTTGTTTTCTACAGATATTGCAAATGGTATGATGAAAGTTGACATGCCTCACTCCCTTTTTTTACTGCTTTTTGTTTTAATTATGTTTTGAGAAAGGGAATATTAAGTATGTACCGAGTTTGTGTGAGGGTGCTTTCGAGTATGACTGCATTGTGAGTGAAATGGGTCTTATTTGTTTATGATTCAAAAGCTGTCGAAGACGAACTTATGGTGAACTATTGTGCATCTTTCAGTTTGTCTGCGACACATATTGCAGTTATACAGCAAAAGTTTGCAACATCTATGCAGTTTATTGCTTATATATTTTACCCACAACAACCGGAATATAAAAGTATTACCTGTACGTTGTTCCAGGTGAAGGCGGTGGTCAGCATAAACGGTATACCATACGTCACACTCCTTCCATACGAACACGGTGATGACGTCATTCCGGTCGTGTCTGAGTAAGTAAACAATGTGTCTGGTCACTTCTTTACTCTAACCAATTCCTCATCCGTTATTATAACAAAATAATGTCTCAGTAAAACTTTTGTTGTTGTTTCTGTTTAGTTTCAATTCAACATTTCATTACAGTAACACTCGCAAAAAAGTCCGCCATGCGGAGGGAATCATGCGGCGCTGACCATGATTAAGTCAATCAGTACTTATAATTACCTGTCAGCGGTAACACTTGTTAAATACTAGATGGTCAAAAATATCATGTTTACAGTAATATGGTACATTGTATATCTTGTTGGATGTATTGCCACACTGCAGTCTATTCATCAATAAACAATGGCTAACGTTAGTAAACTGATGTCATGAGAGAACTCGCTTTTTTGCATGGATATTTTATCAAATGAAATTAGTTGAAATGATTAGATTTATTTGCTTTTTTAAAATATAGAGTCTTGCTGGCAAAGTGCTACAATTTTTCCCCAAAGAAATGACCCTCATCTATTTTCAGGACCAAAATGGTCCTGTTGCATGTTATCAATAGCTACAAATTGTGTTCAGATGAATGACCTTGAGTTACTTTTAAAGTCAAAGTGTTAAATGGGTTAACATCTTCAATAAACTTGTTCCAATGCTTTATAAGGTCTAGAATAACGACATCCTCCCTTATAGGTTGTCGAATATAGAGCATTTAAGTTTTTTAATAAATGACCTTGACCTTATTTCAAGGTTTCAAGGTTGAGTTGTGTTCAATTCTTTCAACAACCTCTAAAGATACATACAATCAAGAGCAATGGATATTTTGTCTGTAGCTTCTTGTTATCATATCGAAATTTTTGGGGATCGTTAGGGTCAAAGTGTGAAGAAATTAATATGTTTATATACATATACCTGTATGTATATCAATAATTGTGATTTCAGGTATGATATCTATGGCGGTATATTCTCTGACGAAGGACTAGTGACGAAATTCTGCTACATTTTGGATCCTGCTGGGCTATTTGAGGTAGGTCACCGATGTATTGGAATTATATATTATAACTTTAATTGAAACTAAAATAAACGCTACCGTTAGATTAAAACACGTTTTTGCCTTGTAAATTGCCCAACCTTTATACACAAAAGGCCCAATATGTTTCTGGTATATATAGGACCAAAATGCCCCGATAATCAGGAAGACAAGAAGCTTGGTATGCATGTACAAATTGACAAAGACTAAAGATTGTAGTTAAGCAAAATCTATGCATAATTAATCAGCATTTCTGATGAAACTTGGTCAATATTTATATAAGACAATGTCAAAGGCTAAGCATAAAGACGAGCAAAATCTGCAATATGATTGGTCAACGGTTTTTTGCACAGTAAGAAGTCAAATATGGCAGCGTTTCCGATGAGATTTGGTCAATATTTATAATAATATTTTCTAATAGCGAAATATGTCAGTAATTGATAAAAAGAAAGAAATATTTTTGTTTTAAACGTGTAAGATGAATGGGGCAAATTAAATTTCTATTTTCATGGTGTGAAATAATGTTCAAACTGCAAAACGTTGTAAATTTTTAACATTTTAAATTGCTTTGTAAGTACTCTATAATTCACATTTTGCTGTATTCTACATAAAAAAAATCAAATTTAAGATAGACGTGGATATTTCATTAATTTTAATTTTAGTGCCACCTATGAGTCCTTAAAGGACGAAATGGCCGTATGATGCAGTAAAATGTTACCAAATGAGATGTTCAAATGGATGCTTCCTATTTCGTTTTTCTAGCCATGATTTTACGAAACAAGGTAACTTATGTAACCTTTTTCGTTTGTTGAGTGTAGTTGAAGAACTCACTACTACTAATAGCTATGCTGCTGAAGGAACACAGACAAGAGTAGGGAATGTGCATGGCAATTTAAATTTTATACATGATATTTCCCACTGCATAATCGTACGATGAGATTAATGTGGGTTCTGTAGACTGGGAGGAGGCTTTCTCCGGTGTTCTTCGCCTAAGAGGCGCTGGAGAAAGCTGAAAGTAAAACTCTGATATTACATATTTCCAAAACTGATGAATCTTATTAAGAACTTTTGTAAGAACGTTTGACTAAATCTGTTTTTATTGAATGTTATCTGCAGCTGTGGAAAACAGATGTAAAGCTACTGAGTATATGCAGTGGCGATGATTGTACCGTCCCCCCAGAATTACAACAACTCCAATACGACAGCTACCCAGCAAACAAGAAACAGAATATTGAACTGGTCGTGTACCACGGAGCCGGACATTTAGTAGAACCACCCTACTCGCCGTTTTGTAGGACATCTCTCCACAAAATCATGGGTGGGTATAACAAAGCCTGTCACAGTTTAAGTTATACCGCAATTGTGTAGCAATTAGACCAAATAAAAACAGTGTTTGTTTTCGATTACCCTACCGACCCGAATTTGTTGTACCTTCCCTTAATCTAGTTTGGCTATATTAAAGAAAAACAATATTAAGGTTAGGATCAATTCCGTGTATAAACATTATAAGAAAAGGAAAAATAAAATATATTGCGTATCAACCGACCCTAATGTTTTGGTCATGTACCAGGAAACAAACATACTTTTTGTTTGGCCTTATTTGGCAGGATATTGTCTATCCTTCAAGAATGTTCCAGAGTGAAGTAACCAATCCTGCTATATGTAAAGTCCTAGAGTGTATAACCACCGCCCTTCTGTAATGCTACTGTTTCCTTCCACTTAGTCAGATTATTACATGTATAGCCACTATTTTTACATGTTATGGGTTTCCGGTTGATCCTCTGTGTATTAAGATCAGCAGGTCTTAGAGATGCGGCGAAACCACAATTACATGCATAAACACAACATTCAATTATCATTTCTATGAATAAAAAAAACCTGTTATGTTATTATGATGAATTAAGACTAGTAACACATTTTTACATTTATTTTCCTAATTACATGTATGTATTTTTCAGGAACAAACGTGGTATGGGGTGGAAACGCACCTGATCACGCTTACGCACAAGAAGATTCCTGGAAACGGATATTAAACTTTTTAAGGACAAACCTTGAGAAACATTCCAAGAATGTGCACCTGTCCAGTCGTCTGTGACCACAAATTATCTGTGATAGACCTAACACCATGGGAAGGCATGAAATAATATCAATTTATTGACTCAGGTGCAATTTGCTGTGGCTGTGATTCTTTAAATTAAAGTTTTGTCGACATGTACGATTCAAAATTTCACTATGAATAATGGACACTTTTCGTTAGGATTTTACTGTTATACGCTGCTTACTTTAGATACTCTACAGTAACTAGGAAATATTACCGTGTCATAAACACAGACAGACAGCAGGTAAACAACAATGCAGTCAGTGCTTAAAAGTAATGTTTTTTTCCGTTTTCACTTGATTATCATGTAATAAACCAGCTATTTAGTGCTTTCCATAAAAGTGAGAACTATTTGTCCATGGTGCTGGTATTGGAAGGTACATATCTACATATGTCCCAGCAATGTGACCCAAAAACCGTGATTTATTTATTATGGAGTTATTAAAGCAAGACTTACATGTGTACGATAGAAAGGACATTCAAACTCAGTCCATTGGGTTTTCTTGTCATTTGCAAGATGGAAACTGCGTTTAGTTAAATTTATTAGCATCACGAGCTTACGACATTTGAACTAACATGTATCTGTTTTTATGTTGCATACATTATAAATATTACTTTCACACAACCCTCAACAATGACCGTCAGTGCTGATGAAGAGTTTTTTAAGGCCCAATTGCACAATATGTCGTCCACTGCTATAGATACTTGCAGTTAAAGAAAACACTGCTTCATGAAATTGTTTTTATTATACTCCTAAATAAAGTCCCGTCTGTCCTTCTCTCCGCCACACTTCACAGATACATGATCCTGTGACAAACCTTATACAAGTCGTTCGAATGCGAGTATGTTCAGTCTTAGGTCAAGGCCACTGGCTAAAATTACAATTTTACCGTCACTCTTTTGTCACCAATCTATCGGCCGAATTTGATATATATTATTATTTATGATATCTACCACATGGTTCATATGATAAACAGTCAACCACACACACACGTATACTATTAATAATTCTAAATGTCGACTTAACATTTATAAAACGTTTTGTCATCTATGTGTTTGTGTCATATGGTTACAAAAAATAATAAAAATTAAAAAAATATAATTTTTGGGTGTTAATTTAACACCACTGTTCCATACATGTATGCCAACCGCTTTGGAAAACAATAGTCCAAGCTGTAAATTCCGAATACATACCAAATGCCAATTCTATGATCACAGCATTAACCAACTTTTCAAATCTTGTGTATTCTTGGTGGGTTTTATTTTCATTACCTCTATACATGTGTACTACTGTTACTTGGACGAGATTAACTAGCATATTCAGGAAGGTCATGGCGGGG